ATCAAAAGACATTAATTATAATAAATTAAGAAATTCTTGCAAAAACTGGAAGTTAAGGAAAGAGATGTGCGTTAATGTTTAATAAATATAAATACGGAAGGATATTAAGGGTAAATACAATGGGAATAAGTTTAGTGTTGGGATAGACTGTTATCTGAGGGCATCTGAAGAACAGATAACTAATAATTTATTGTGTGAAGGCGTTGGTAAAAAATATGTAGATTCACTCAATTATACCCTCAAAACACTATAGTTTTTGGCCATACCTTTGGCCAACACTTCTCAACAAACAGTCCATTAGTGTTATTATCATTTCGTTATTGATTTCTGTATTCATTATAAATCAAAACGATTTGATTTGTTTCGTTAGAGTATATTCTGGAGCCAAAGCCAGAGCCACGTCTCGATTCATATTTTCTTGAAACGAGTTTTTCATCCCTGAGTTCATTAGTTCAGACCTGAGAGAAGAGAAACAAACCATTTCAACAAATATTACATTTCATGTTATTTTAGATTAACACAAATTAATGCAAACATTTTATTAATCGACTATTTATTAAAAATCTATTAAACCAATAGTTTTTCCAATCACTTCCATAATTAATATAAATTCACTATTTTAATGAATATTTTTAATACATTCTTCAATTTTATATGAAATTATACAATAAATAAGGATTGGCTTGAAGTGAGTAGACATTTGATTTCAATCACTGTCTATAATATGTAATTCATTTCAAAAATCATAGCAAAAATTGTGTATTTTATTATCTCATTTCTAAACTCCATTATATATTGTTATATTTGGAGTGAAAATAATATAACAATACTTATATCGGATAACAATATATTGTTATACAAATATCGGACTCTTAACCCCTCACTTGCTTTTTGCGATTACAGTTATGCCGGTGTTTAACATAACATTTTGGCCCAAATCTCTGCAGTTTTTATACTTTTTTCGTATATTTCCTAAAATTCTAATGTTATCTGATTTTGTAAATTAACAAAAATAAGATGATTTTTATTTCCATAAAATGTTTATGCATTAAAAATACAATAATAATTATTTAAAAATATGAATTGAAAATATATAAGTGTTTCGAAAATCTGTAATTTTATGTAAGTTTACAAACATTTATGTTTTGATTTATTATGACTTTAACTCGACTTTTATAACCTAGAGTTTAGTCACTGAACAGTTGTTTAATGCTTAATAAATTTCAGATTATGTGATCTTTTGAGTTACAAAAAAACTTAAATCAAAACCAAATCAAGTGATTGGAAGTTATGGTTCAATTGATAGGACATTCAATTGTCTCATTTATCATTATTATTTCAGTGTTGATCGATATCTGTCTTTGGTTTTATATTACTCGTAATGTTTGCATTAAATAAATATTTTAATATAAATTAAATATAAACGAGTGTTGAATAGTTTTATTTTACATTCAAATCATTAAAATACCATTCAATCAAATTATCATTTGTCTGACAATCAGATCTGGAAATACATTTCCAAAGTAAATAAACTTTGAAGGAATTTAATAAAAAGTGAGACTTTTTTCATACTATGTATGAAGTAATCACTGGTTTTGATATATGAAGCGAAGAAAATCAAAACATTTTCGATATCCCATACGAACTGAAATTCAAGATCTGTTCTGCAATTTGAATGCTTTAATGTTTTTGACGACTAAAAAACTACTAAACACTCAATTTTTACATTTTTAACCATATTCAATTCAAATCTCTAAAAATGGCTTAAATAACAATTATTTGTTTATTTTAGTGATGAATATAATAGAAATGTGTCCAATCATTGGCATTAAAATATCAAAATATTTATCATGTGTTGATTCGTAATCACTATTCCAAGTCATGATTTGGGAAGTTTTTACCACAAAATAGTTATTCAATTCATATAAATATAAATAACATTATGTTTTACAAAATTAGTCCATTTATTGTGATTACAAAATTAGTTTATAAAGAGTATTAGTATTTATTTAATACTAATATATTATTGAGTTTTATCGGAAATTCAAATAAAAACGAGCACTAAATCTACAAATTGTCTGATAATAGCATATTTCGTTGATTCCCAGAGTGAAGGGCATCGCAAATATGCTATAAAACATTACTTATAACTTAATATCGTTATTATTTAGTTGTAAAACATTTCAATTATTTATGGCGTGTAAGAGAATTGCTTTGTTTGGCTTTATTTTAGACAATTTCGCAAATGTTTTTCCCTATTATTTATTGCTAACAACTGTTTTTAATTCATTAGTTAAACTTTTAAAACACAAATTTTGTGAACAAAAAAGCAGTTGATTTCAATAAATTGAATGCGCTTTTCATTGGGCTATAGTTAGCGATCAGTATTGGAGTGAATACTGTATAACAAATTTTTTCTCATAACAAAAATTGTATTTTACAGACACTGGAAGTGCCAACGATTGCGAGGAATCAATTGAAACGAGCGATTGTTTGTCAGACAATAATATTGTGCGAAATGAATGTGTTTTGTTGAATGAAAGCAATCAAACGGAAAGTTCATTGCAATCGCAAACTATTGGCGGAAAGGAATCCAAATCACAAATCGATTCAATACAAGATAATCAACAAAAAGAGATAATAATTGAAAGTTGCGTTAATCGACAGACTCTGATCACTACTGACGACAATATAATTGACAGCAATTGTCATGAAATAAGTGAGAAATCAATTGATGATAACTCCGATAGAGCTCTTTGTCAGCAATACATCGATGAATGTAAGTTTTCAATACACTTTTTTGCCTAAATATACCTATTATTCAATTTATTGATAGACTTAAGAACAAAATGACAAAACATATTATCAATATATCTACACTTTTCAAATACAAAATCGTTTCCATCAATTAATTTTTAGTGCTTTTTATTCAACGGTTGTTTTATCTCGAAATTCATGATTTATTTCTTTATAAAAGGCATAACAAAAAAGTTATTCATAGATAATATTTGAATGACATTATCAACAATTGAAAGTATTGTATATTTAACACATTTGGGTGACGTTCTAGTAATGGTACCCGTGAATACATTGTTAAAAATAATTTTTTAAAAGTTAATTTTGTTATACATTAAATTTGTATAGAATGCAACCCTTAACACAAATTTAATAACCATTTATTTTTATCTCGAATATTTTTCGACTTATTCGACTATAAACTATTGTTTTATAAAATGTTTATTTGAATAACTTTTAAACTATTAATTGGATTTGAAAATTGATTTCATATCCTTATTCAGCGTCAAATTCTACATCGAATTAATATATAATATTAATAGATCACGTAAATAAATTATTTTTGAACAAAAAGTTCTAAGTCGAATAAGTCGAAAAATATTCGAGATAAAAATAAATGATTATTAAATTCGTGTTTAGCGTTGAATTTCACATAAGAATAATAAAAAATATACGCGGGTACCACTACTAGAACCTCACCAACATTTGATTGACTAGAATATAGTCGAAATATTTTATATCTAGTACATTCCATCGTATTTAATATATAATTAGTTATAATCATCACCATAATCAATATATAATTAATTTTGTTTTCTACTATTAAACAATTAGTATTACTAATTATTTACTTTAAGTATTAATGGTTAGTTGTTTTAATTGTAGTGAATGTAAACATAAGTATTAGATAATGTATACATAACTTATATAAACAAGTATTACTTCAACAACTTTTATACAGAATAGACTCATTGAAAATATTAGGAAAATTAGTAAATATTTGTTTGAATGAGAATTTTCACTGGAAATCTAGTCAACACAATTCTAGCATACATTTGATGTATAACTCGTTGAAATTACTAACAAAAACGTTGAGTTTTGTGACTCATGGCTTACATATTCGTTGATTTATTTGATTTAATTGTGAAATTATTGCATATTTATATGAAATTCCTTGACTTATAGTTTTTCTGATAACTTAGTTAGGTTACAAAAATGTGTTTCTGTTCAATCGAGATTGTTTATGTAATACAATACCCTATGTATTAACATGTTATTCATATTCTTGCATTTAATATACCGTATTATGTGATTATAAACATAATGAATGATAAAACGTCAAAATGAATTCACGTATTAGTTTATTAGTGTCAACACGTAATGCCTGTTAAGTAACAATTAATTCAAAATTAATTCTTGAAAACATAAATATTTAACATTTGTTTAAAACCATTCAACAAATACTGGTATGAAATGTCGATTGTTTAAAATATTTTCATATTATAGTTATTCTGTAATATTGTTTACTACACTTGTATTGTACGTAAAAAGCATTAAATTTGTTTAACTATTATTTTCCAAAACGATTATAGAAATTCCTGACATTAACTACAGATTTAATCAAACATTTGTCCGTTTGAGAGATGTATGAATTAATAGGTATAAGTCTGGTATTATTCCATACAAAATATATTGTCGAGAATTAAAATTCTTGTTTTTACCAATGGATTAATTATGCGATTGTTTTAATTTTTGTTGGTTTCAGCTCAATCGATATACAGTATTGTTATATACAATATAATATAATATATACTAATATTAATCATATAAATGTCAATTTTGATTTAGCAAATCATTCATTTTGCTAAAAGTAGAGCAAAAATGCAATTGTGACTAAAATTGAGCTCCAATTATGCAATAAAGCATCTCTTTTTGAAGCATTGAATTATTTATTAAAAGCCCTATTGTGTGACAGTTTTTGTTTTAACACATTATATATTTGTTTGTATTGTAGACGAGAAAGAAGATAAAAAAGAAGTTATAAGTGAAGAACAAAACATGTTTCGGATGAGAAAATCTCAAGATATGAATGAAGTCACCACTTGTTTGCCGCCAACTTATGCCAGACAACCACCAGATGGACGAGAGATAACATTGAATTGCATTGACTTGCAGTCAAGCAATGTATTTAACGGTAAAATTAGTTCACTTTCGTGCGAAATGTATACCTCTGTGTCAGTACACGAGGATTCGGGTGTTTTCATAGACACAGACACTCCGAGTCCCGAATTGGACTTCAATACTACACACCCGCGAGGAATGGTGTCCAGCGTTGCCGTCACTCAAATCAAATACAAGTTGAATGGAGATTCCGATGGAGACACTGGCGTCACATCCCAGTCATCCGATTCGATGGATGAGTTGGATTCGTGTCCATCGCCTAACTATAAACCCAAGCGACAGATATTGGATAAAAGTCGAAATCCTTCGTCTGATTTCCTGTCGGAAACGGCACCGAATGGAGTGACCAATAATAATGATGTAAACAATTCACACAAATCTTCTGAGCTATCAAAGAGTGTGAAGCAAAAGATCGCAATGTTTGACATTCAAAGCAGTGATAACTCAGAAGATATTATCGATGAATGCTATGCAGCGAAAGAAAGCCTTAAAGAGTTACCCAAAAGCACTACAACACCGATAAATGAATACCTAATAAGTGATCGTTCGCCGAATGGGTATCAGTTATCAACTCCTAATGGCAAACATGAATTAAAGTCTGAAAGGGTTTTCACATCTGATGTCTCCGACAAACAATACAAAGAGAGGAGTATTGAATCGCAAAACGTTTTTAATACAAAAAATAGTTTTGTGCACAAAAAGTCATCGTCTCTATCGCTTACATCAGATCAAAGCCATCCAAATGCAAGTGCCGTCCAATATAGCGGTCATTTGCAACCATCATATCTTAGATATTCTAGTTTGGGATCTTCTAATGATAACCTTCACACAAATACTGGCTATTCAGGGATCGGAGTTCACAAACCATTACTTAACGGCAATCTTTTGTCATCAATTCTGGAAACGAGAAAACAAAACGCGTCTAAACTTAAAGGTCTAATCATTCCCGACGTTCCGACAGCGACACAGCCGGCGGTCAGCAAAACATTGCCCACAATATTCAGCAATACGTCCACCAGTTCTTTGCTTTTGACGGCTAAACCAGAAGAAGTGAGCGCTTTGACAGCGAGAACTCTAAGCCAATCGCAAAGTCAGACAAATATTTCATCAAACTTTGCGACTTTACGACAACCACTCCTATCTGAGCCCTGGGCCGCAGAAAACGGCTCGATTCCCAAGTATTCGCCGGCATTCAAGCGCCGACAGCTGGAACTGCCCCGCAGTTTGTCTTTGCTAAACAATGCCAATCCTGTGTCTCAAGACAATGTGGACTCGTTTAGCGACTCGTGGAATCGCTCCAATTCCATGACAACAATGGCTGCATCTGATCCACAATTTCAGTTTTCTCTGTCTCACAGCAAACCAGTCATACCATTAATGCCAGAAACAGCGGTCGGTTCGCCAAACATGGATGGCGTCAGTAATGCAACCAATACTAAGCCATCACTCGAGGAACAGTTGGCGCTTAGCTTTAATGACTCGTACAGACATTCGTCGATTCAACGCCGATATTCAGCCGATGTTTTCAATTATAATAATAATTTGAAGTATTCATTGGAGAAGAGATCGTCGACCGACTCATCAATGAATAGTATATACAAAAGCACTTTAAATGCGATGACAACCGATAGAAATGCCATTCAAAATAACAAAACATATAATTCAATGAATTATTTGGATATTAAGACAAATCCTATTATCAACGAAAAGAAAAATATCTTAAATAATGGATCGGATAATGAATACGCGATCCATAAAAATGTTTTAAATTATAATTTAATGAAAACACAAATTCTGAACACAAATAATAAGTTTGACAGCAATTGTCAAAACGCAAAGAATTTCGCGAATTGTGATTATAGTGACGACGACTCGTCGACTATAAGCCACAAGACATCGGAAGGCTCTTCCGTAAGGGCTGACGATTCGGCGTCGGATACGGCATCCGATTCGTTGGATCAGACGTTTGGTTCAGAGCTGTCGAGACCTAAAGTGTTGGGAACACAACTCACTGTTTTGAAGAACACAAACGATGGCGAAAATGTTTGCGTCAAAAACGACAATAACTCGGATTCCGTTAAGAATTTCAGAGCACTCGCAGAGAAATGGGAACAAAGAAGTGGTTTAGAGGGTGTCGTCAACAACACTAAGAACATCGCACCACCGCTTCCTCCCAAACCAAACCCCGCGTTGTCTCGCATTCCTCCCTCTCTTATGCCCAGAACTAAGAAATCAGTTCCCACTCCAGAGCCTCCAACTCTGGTAGAACTTCCAAAGCCTATCGTTGAGCCGATTGTCACTCCAATCACTCCAAACGTGTTGAAGGAAATCAAACAAATGGAGACAACGCTTAAAGAGATTGAACTGAATTTAAACACCGATTTTGAATCTCCAAAAGCAACTCTTGGTATTAACACCAGATCTGATTCACTTTCATCGGACGGCAATTCATCAGATAATTCGTCCAAAACATCGGTCGCATCCATGTCTCGAAGTGTGAGCGATATCTGCAAAGTGTTTGAAATCAGTGGAACCGATAATTCTTCAATTAAATCAAACAGAAGTAATTCAAATTCAAGTCTCAATTCAATCAAAACCATTATAAATAACGACAACAAAACCATACCTGACATAGAGATCGAAGCAGAAAAAGTGGACACAACTGACGAAAAAGAGATTCAGTTGAATGAAGAGAAGGAATTCAATCAAATCAATACTGAAAACGATAAAACAAACCCAAAAATATGTGAAGAAAAACTGTTGGTTTGGGATAAGAGTCGAGTGAACGAAGACACGGGAATCAATAATCACCAGCGAATGTCTTCAATGGATTCGTTGGCCAGTGATTCGGGTGCCAGCAGTTCGGGTACAGCCGTGCGATCGCTGGGCCCGCGAACGAGTTCGGCCACTAATTTGCGGGATTCCCTCTACGGCTCGGTCTCATCCCTGGCCTCCTCTACGAGTATTATATCTCCGCAAGAATTACAGCAACTGATCGATGAGGCGAACCAATCGTTGGAATCCAATGATATCAATAGCCATAACATTCAAGTCGTTGTCCTTCACCGCGAATACAAGTCCAGCGGAAGTATTGGCATTACTCTTGCGGGCGGTTCCGACTGCGAGACCAAAGAAATAACCGTAAGATAATTAGATGATTGTATAAATCGATTAGTTTATCATAAAATATGTTTTCATTCTTAGGTCCACAGAGTTATTAACGGGAGTCTCACTGATAGGGACGGAAGGATACGAAAAGGCGATCGCATTCTCTCAATCAATGGTTGGTTTTATAATTAATTTACTCATAAAAATATGTTTAATCAAAATTGTGATCAATTTTTAGGCAAAATATTGAAAGGAGTGACACATAAAGAGGCGTTGGATATAATGAAAGCGCCGCGACCTGAAGTGGTGATAGTGTTGTCCCGGATTAACACCACAAACATATCACCAGAGAATGGATTCCATTCACGACAGAGTAGTTCCGATTTGAACGACACGACGAATGGACACTCGTTTCACAGTCTTAACGAAGATATCATATCATCGACTCATTTGTCTACAATTAAAGACATGGAAACTAATTTGGACACCAATTATAAGATACTTCGCGCAGAGCTCCAGAAAGACGTGGCGGGACTCGGATTCATATTAGAGGGCGGAAAGGACTCACCACTCGGTGACCGACCACTCGCTATCAAAAGGATATTTAGAGGCAAGTGATTGACATTTGAAGATATTTTCTATAGTGTTTAACATCTGATCAAATGATTAATATTGAAATGATTTTGACAAACAGGAGGTCCGGCAGACAAAGAGGGGACACTGGCTTCTGGTGATGAAGTGCTTACAGTGAACGATCATTTAGTGAATAATATGACCAGAACTGAAGCGTGGAATTTTCTCAAGAAGTTACCCGAAGGACACGTGGTTTTGATGGTGAAAAGGAAAAAGTATTAATGACCAGAGATTACGCCAATTAAATGCCATTTAACTAATCCAAGTGTCGGAGTGGCAGTCATTGAGTTATTTCCTAATATATTTATACCGGTATTCAATGCATAGAATAGTTTAAAATAAAGGAAACTGTGATAACTCTAATGAAAATCACAATAACTTATTATACAAAATGATTGCAAAACAGAGTTATAAATATTTAGATATTTAATAAATTATAATTATTTATCAAACAAAACAAAATCAACTCAATATTTAAAAGGAGTATAAATATTAAACTATTATATTCGGTGATAACATTGAGTGCATTATTTAAATATTGACTAAATTGTATCTAAAAGTCAACTAAATTATATAATATATAAAACAAATTATATTCATATGAAAAAGTCATTTATATTATTATTTTGATAGATATCTAAACAGTAATACTAAATGATTTAACACCCGATTAATGATTGAAAATATAATTCAAAATTATATTTAAATACTTATTGAAAGCAATTGTTATACAACTTTATTACTCGATATAAAAGTCATTTTAATGGCAAAAATATTATATAAATAGTTGTTGTAATGTTTTCTGATTTCAGGTTATTTTCAAAATTATGTTTTTTGAAATACATTTTAATCAAAAACACTCATCACTTCTTTTAAATTATTAATATATTTGATTTATAAAGTGTTTATAATTATATCATTAATATATGTATCGATTTATTATTGATTATTATTAATATTAATCTAAATTATTGTGAAAAATAGTTAATTATTTTTTAACACAAGATTTTAGTTTTTATTATATTTGAAATTTAGTTTTTAAAAGTTTAAGTTTTTGCCAACTCTTGAGCGTATTATTTGTTAAATCATTTAAAATTATATAATTATATTTTTTGCAATAAATAACTCATTATTTGTTTATATTTGGGAATTAAATAGTGGTTTAAAATCATAATTTCTCATTAAATGCATTCATATTAATAACTATTATATAATAATAATATAAATTAAACCATACGTTAAATAAAACTTATTTTGTGTAGATTTCAAAAATTAAATAAAATATATTTTCATATTCAAATAATTCTGCTCGTTCACTTTTTACATTTTCCAACATCATTGTACAGTAATTCACCAAACTTATACACCATGGTAATTCAATATGTGCATGGTAAGTTTTAAAGGGTATCGATTAAAATAAGCAAAGATACGTATAAAAGTATCCAAGTTATTACAACTTGTAACTTTAAAAACTTTTAGAACTTTTTAGTAATAATATTTTCAGCATGTACAGTCAGTCACATTTTTCAGCTCAAGTTGTGAACTATGAGTTAAATTGTAATTACCATCATTATAAATGATTCATTATGAATGATGTATAACTATTTGAATGAATATATTGTACTCTAAAGTTAGTGCCATTTATTACATGTCATTCATAAGTTGTAAACCCAGAGTAATGTTTACATAAAACACGTGTTGAGCTGTCATTACGTTTATGAATGAAATGTCAATTTCTATGTTTATATTGACGTCAATCACGTGTTCATTAGGTCTGCATTTAAATGACTTTTACAAAGTTTAAAGTCATAAACCATTACTGAATGACATATTTGTGATCATATTTACCACTAAAAGACACCATCGGAAGTATGGATGTGTTGCCAGTGATAACAGTAGAGCCCATAGCGTTTGTCTTCATGTTTGCCACGTTTGGCGAATACACGTGCGCTCAGGACCTGCTCTTCACCAACAATTGTGTCCATTATTTCCAATCAAATCAATGTCTTATCGATAAGAGTGAAGAAAGCGATGCATTGCTTGCGATTGAGTCCCAAACCACTCAACAACTCATGTATTATAACTCTATACTCGCCATCGCATCCATCTTCAGCTCATTTATCAGCGGATCTTATGGTGACTCTTGCGGCCGATTAGTGCCGCTATCGGTTCCACCGCTTCTCTCATTCATAGTTCAGTGTCTATTCATAATATCTTCGTTCAGATTGAGTCCAGCCGTAGATATATTGCCATTAGTGCTCATCTGTAGCCTAATATCTGGTCTATCGGGCGGTTCGTCCAGTTTTTTGGCCAATTGTTTCGGCTTTGTTTCCGACAAAAGCCGTCAAAAACAACGGACACAGCGTTTAGTCATATTAGAGGCGAATGTCTTTTGTGGAGCTTTTCTCGGATCAATTACCACTGGTTTAATACTTAAGACATTTACTTCATATAAATATCTGATATGTTTTGCCATCTATTCATCCATTCATGCATTTGTATTGATTTACAATTCATTGCGATTAAGATTTGTGTCAAATGAGAGCCAAAGAGAAGGAATGGTTCCCAGAATTAGCGTCAAAACTGTATTAATAATGTTTTTAAATGTCATTCAAACCGTAGCGAAGAAAAGATCAGCAAATAATCGCAAACTTATATATTTATTAATAATTAGCTTTATTTTAGTCACTTATGGGACGGAAGTGTTGACGAGTTTATTGTTTCTGTTTGTACGGAACCGACCACTCCTTTGGGACACATCTTTGTATGCCTTTTATAATGGGCTTAAGTTCGGGGCCACTGGTCTGGCCCTATGTCTCCTACCATTGGCTCAATACTATCTATTGCCCCAAATATGCGACACAAGTATAGCAATAATTGGCATTTTGTCGCGAACTCTGGGCTTAATATTGATAGGTTTGGCGACCAATTCTGGGCTAATGTTCTCATCGATCATATTATTGACATTCTGTGAGTTCCCGTTACCCGCCATTCGGTCTCTCCTCTCAAAACTGGTCGATACGACCGAAAGGGGAAAAGTGTTTGCATTTCTCACACTTTTCCATAACTTGTGTTCACTTTCTGGCGGAATACTATTTCCACTCATTTATAAGAATGCAATCAATAATAATCGATATTCTGGTCTCTGTTTCCAAATCACTGCTGCCTTACAAGTGATGGCAATGTCTCTATTCATGTAAATAGTCATTTTAATCAAAACATTTATTCAAAATATATTCTTCTGTATATCTAATCGTTTACATCGTTTTGAATAGTTATATACGATATGAACTCAAATCCGCGCATTTCGTCCAAACAGCCAATGAATCGACTGATCCTTCGGAGACAAACAGTATCTTAGATGAAGATAATGGCGGAGCAGATAATGATAACACGACAGACACTTAAGCATGTAATCAATAAATAGTGAAACAAAGAGTGGTTTTCAATTGTAAACTGTATTTCAATATGAAATTAGTTGATAATCTCAATAACCTATAATTGGATTCACATATAAATAGTGATCAAATGTCATCAAATGGTAGTTTTGTTTTTGGATCCAAGCGTTTCGGAAAGTGATGTAAAGACAGATCGAAAAAATGACATTTAAATAATTTTACAATTAATTAATACTAAATTAATTCTAATTATATTATAAGCTATTGATTGGTTTGTGAGTCGTTTTTCTTGGTCTTCTTGCGTGCGTTTTGAGACTCATTGTCGTTGTCATCGTTGGTCTCCCTCTTCTTCAACGCCTTCTTCTTATCCCACTGTTGGTGAAGATATCGCAACAAAATGTTGGTCTTCTCTGTTGTGATAACTAAGCAATCGATAGGAAAAAGGCATTCAAATCAAAGATAGGCCACAAAGGAGTGCATCTAATCATGTCATCAATACTTTGTTCCGACGGATGATCTTTTGTGGGCAGATATACGGACGGCTTCTTAGAGCTGGTCCGACAGCCTTCCGACTGGAATCGCGTGAAATTCATTTCATCAAAAACTGGTAATCCTTTCAAATGATCGGACGTCGACTGAAATGAAGACATTTTTGGGTTAATATGAAATCAAACCAATCATTCAATCCATTTATGTTTCAATTAGGACTCAATTGTGGGATCAGATTAAGTGATCATTAAGTGATAATCATAACAAAATGCAACCATTATTTCTGTGGCAAACGTCAGTCCAAATGGCGTCCAATTTATTATTCAATTTATTTATTGATTTAATTATTATTTTGTTTATAAAATACGAAACAATGAATTGAGTGAACAATTGGTGCCAAATGTGGTTATAATGTGTTTGTGGTGTGAATTGAGAGTCAATTGAACGCTAAATACATTCGCAGTGAAAGCAATCAAATGGCAAATCAATGATAACACGGTTTAACAGTCAGTCCTTTACAACACTATTGACGTAAACAAATCACTGCGACCTCTACTGAGGCAGTAGTACTCAACACTTGCACACTGACCACCACTAGAGTGGCCAATACACACAACTATAAGAACTCGTACATTATTTAATCATGTTAACTAATTATTGTAATATTTAAAGTTTTTCGTATCAATCAATGTTTTATTAATTTTGCAAGTTGTCTCAAATTATCTATTTAATTTTAATGTATATCAATGTCTCTATCACTAGATTAACTTTTTAAGTTAAAAAGTGATGGTAGAAGTAGTGTGACCAAAACTGATATTTTCATATTCTGATAAGTAAATCATTGATTCTTAGGTGACAAAAACCAGTCGCAAGTCTTAAAGTTACTTAAAAATGACGGAAAAATTTATTAAAAGGTGATAAAAAGTTATTTATAAAAGAGTAAGCGATCGATGCTATAAACAGATCGGGTTCGGGAATTTGCTTCATAACATCGATTAGTTCACAGCATCGATAATAGTTTAACATTAAGTTAATGATGGTTGGTTTTGGGGTTTAGTTCATAAGTCAACAGTCAAGTCACAGTCAACGTGTAATAATATTTCCATTTCCATTTGAACACTAAATATATTTATTCTCCAATATATTGTAAAATATCGATTAATGCCGTATAAAATTCGCAAAACAGTGGAAAAGTTGATAAAAAGTTACTAAGGGTGAGAACGTCTCAAAAGGTGCTAAATAGGGCTAATAAGGCCCCCAAACTTTCAAGAGGTTCTCCGCTTTCAGAACAAAAAGTTATTTAACTTACTTACTGAGTTAGAATCAGTGCTTTACTCATACAAAAGTAAGATTGTAAGTAATACAAAAAATGAACTGGATATTATTCTATAGGCAATGCTAATCCTATGGGACTAATTTTAAGTTTATAAGTATCTATTAAAATTCTTTCAAAATAATTGAAGACATTTTAAAGTAATTTATTAGTGAATTCTGGGATTAAAAGTTTATAAAACTTAAGTCTTAATGGATTTATCATAAGTTATGATTCATAACCAGAGCGACGATTATTTGGGAATAAAAACTTAATTTTTGCACAAAAAACGAAATAATCTTTTTATTGAATGGACTATGGAATCACATTCAGAATACTATGAATAGTGATTTTTATCTTACAATCGCAAACTAAAATTAGTTCAATATTACATACAATGTATAAATGACAGTGTTGTCGACCAGCGTTTATTAAATTATTATGTTGTTAACGTAATATAGAATTTATCAAAATATCAGCTTAAATGAGCATTTTAGTCGATGCGTTTATTAAAATGAGCTTTATAATCACTTATTTTTATTAGTAATTCATTAATAAATTGGTGAATAATTAGTCACATTTGTGGGTAAGTCGACACAAATATTTAGTCAATTGGGGGAAACAATGTTTTAATAAAACTTTTGGTA